TATATATTTATTTATTTATATCAAAATTTTTTCATAAGTACTATACAAATCTATTTTAGAGCGTTAAAAGTTATACAGTATAAACGTAAATTACACTTAAAATTAAACACGAAAGTTTTAAACAAGTCCTTTCATTTTATTTGGATTATTGTATTTTACAATGGCTTCTTTTAATCTACTCCAGAATAATAACTGAGCATTTTCTTCGGTTGCCCATAACAAATAAGTCCTTGTTTTTAACAAATAACGAAGTTTTCGAGGTATTAACACTTTTTTTAATTCTTCCATTTTAACTAAAATTAACGCATCTCTATTTTCTTCGAATAACTTGTCGTGAGCCAAGTATAGTTCCGTCATACGCCAATTGTCCTTCAGAAAATTGTCCGATAACAGAATCACAACTTTACGACTCTCTTCTATTTTGTCGATAATATTCTGATGGATTTCCTCACCGAGGGTGAAATCGCGAAGCCGGATGCACAATTTTAATCCCGATTCTTCACATTCTAATTTAGGAACTAATTCATTCGCTACCCATTCTATTTCTTCGTCGCAAAACGATATAAAGGCGTCGTACTTGTATTGATGAGAAGATAGTTTTTCTTCTTTAAAATACCAAATTTTCGATCGTAAATGAAACAGGGAATAACGAATGCTCCAGCGATAATAATATATTACTGATCCAGCTAATAAGATAACGAATATTGTACTACATAAAGATATTACAATTGTTATTGTTGCATCAGTTTCTAAGCGTAAGCAATCTTCAAATCTTGATGGAAGATTCATTACTTTTTCATCGGAAATTTTCTCCGGAAGAAAACAAATAAAATTGTCAGAATCTCTATAATCGGTGGCATTTAACCACATACGCAAATAGTAAAGATTACAAGGTAAACAATTAAACGGATTCCACGATAAATTAACAAATTTGATGTTTTGTAAAATTTCTAATAATTCTTTAGAAAAGTTGCTTATGAGATTAGAAGAAATATCAAGATTTTCTAACAGTGGTAAATCGATTGACTCATTAGTAAACTCTTTGATACGATTGTTTCTCAGATTTAAATATCGTAGATTTAAATGGGAAAAATTAGATAGATATTTTACCGCATTGTTTTCTAAATTCAAAAACCTAAGATTGAAAAGAAAATTGATAGAAGATTGTGGAATGAAATAAAAACGATTACTACTTAAATTTAAATACTGAAGGGAATGAAGAACTACAAAGATGTCGTCTTCAATAATTTCTAAACGATTTCTTGATAAATCGAGCGATACGAGAGAAGTCAAATTATCAAACGTACCTTCGGGTATGGATGCGAGATGGCATTCGCTAAGATAAAGATAACGTAGATGAGAAAAGGATGCGAAGGATCCCCTTTGCAAGTGTGTTATATAAGTTTTCGAAAGTATGAGTATCTTGAGATTTGATGGTGCCGAGTAAGATCGCGCTGGCAAAGAAAACTCTTTGCTTACAGGTTTATTAGCTTCTAAATTCAAATACGTCAGATTAATGAATTGTGGTTTATAAAACGGTTCGGGTATAGAATATAATCGATTTCTGCTAAAATCCACAATTCTTAAACCTGGAAGATTGTCTAACGCATTTTCCTCTATTAAATAAATTGTACTTTTTGTCATATTTAATACTTCCAACTTGGGAGTAAAGGAAAAATCGCCATTTTGAATAATATCGAAATGATTTTCTGGAATCTCTAATTTAAGCACATTAATTTCTGGGATGGAAGAAAACAATTTTATTGATTTCACATTTTGCGTTAAATAAATAGAGAATTCTGTAACTGTTGCTTGGCGAAGGAAGTAAATCTGATCAAATTGATTATAAAGCAGTGCTAATTCGTGTTTTGATTTAGGAAACTTTTTAATCCTTACTGCGGTCATTATCATTTCATAAATACCTCGAAGAACTAATCTACAGGATGCATTTCGACGTTCATCAATGGCCATAAAGTCAAACTTCGGTGAAGTCACATCGCATTCACCTAGAGCTTCAGCGATGCCAATTATACGACTTCTATTAAAATTTATGTGAATTTTGACTTTTCTGATACCAGACAATGTGGATGCTAATGGAGTCAACAAAGAAAATTTTAAACCATAATTATTCATTTGATGTGGAGAAACTCGGAATTTCTTAATCGTCAAGTTTGCAAGCCTTAAACAAATTCTTTCGTTCAAATTGTAAATGAAATTATCGCTTTCTATTCCTATTGTCATTTCAATTGCGTATCGTTTATGTCCGACGTAAGGTGAGAAACTTTCAATAGAAGAGTACATACCACAACTTGCCTGAAGCATTTGCTTATTCATAGAAACTTTGCAATTCTGCATAAATAATAATTCGTGATCTTTTAGATCATCGCAGGTATCGCTGGTTACATTCCAAGAATTACTTGAATAAATTGTCGCAGTAAAGACCCAAATAAAGATAAACATATTTATCTGAAAAACAATTTTAAATATTAATAAATTATATCAGATAGAAGTAAAAATATGTTAACAAGTTTTAATAATTTATATGTTCCTTAGAATTGTAAAATTTATTAAATTAATACTTTATTACATGAAATAGATTCGGGTTAAATTATACCCTGTCTTTTTTCTTTTGCAAGAAGCACTCACTAAATTTACAGGCACTAAAACGACAACCACAGATTCAAGCGCATGAATCAAAAATCCTTCAGAAGTCTCTGTCTGGCAAAGAAGAATAGAAATACAAATAAAAAATATTAGACGGCAGCTAGGCAAGCCGACACAATATGCTAATAACAAAACAACACCTAAATTTTAATGTAACAACTAAAAAGAATTATCAGGAAAATTAAAACAACCAAAGCAAGAACAACACAACGTCCACATTGACGTACTCAAAGAAAAACTTGCAGCGAAAGCGCGACGACTCAAATGATATAAAACTTGCTTTGTACGGAAACAACAAAATAAATTATTCACAAACGAGTAATTATTTATTGTGACATCGTCACAATGCCAGGCTGCACGCTTTTAAAACAATCATATACAGTAGTTTTCAAAATGCTACTGAAGAAAGAAAGAGTTCTGACGCAATCATTTTAGACTCCGATGCAGATCTGGTTATTGATTAAAAAACTGCTTTTGTCTGTAGCTTACATTGTATAGATTTCAGGTAGAAAATTATTTGCTAAGATATTGTATCAGTTATTATCTTATCAGTGAACGTTCTGCGTAGAGGAAGAGTTCACATCGGGAGCCGCAGAAACAATTTAAAAGAGCCTCACGCGGATTTTTGAAAATGTTTCTGAAATTTTTTCTAAAGTCATCCTCACGACATCATAACCGTATGAAATTGATTTTATTGTAAAAAAAAATTATTAAAATTACCAAAACAATAAAACAGGCCAGACGGCCGTATTATCAGACTTACCGTCGGAGACCCCGATTCGAAACTGATCCTAGTTCCCTCAATTTATTATGGGTATTACGAATAGAGACATCGTTTCCATTTCTCATCTACGTAAGTTGACCGATTTGCTGGTCAGACTCCTCATACAGTAATGAGCTGTAGGAAACTTTCTTATAACACGATGGTAGCGAGTTTTCGCAATATTATTTTCCTTTATTCTTCCAAATTTAGAAAATGGAGTAACATCACAGATAGTGTTTGCGCACATGCACTTATGAAATTATATTTTGAAAAAGAAACTATTGCAGACAAGGATATGGCTTGTGCGCTTTTCCTTGTTTAGATAAAGGAACTGATTAAAATAAATGATAAAAATTATAAAAATTTCCGTTTATATATGTATTTTATATTAAATTTATTTGACATTAAAATCAAAAAAACTTATTCATATGTTTCAAACGTTATAAAAAAATGGAATAAATGTTATAATAGACGATAGATTTATTAAAATTATAGCAACGAGAATACTTTCGGTAAGAGTAACGATTTTAAATCAATAATTTTAATTTTTAATAAATTTTCGTTGATTTAGTTTTTAAAAAGTCAGATTGATTGATTCAACATGAAAGAGATTTCACTAAATTAAAACAAGAATCACTGTTTAAATATCATAATAGAATCAATTAAAATCTTGCCTATTGTTTCTTTTTTGGTTAATACAGTAGAGCGTCGTTTATCAGAATCAATTGGGGACTGGGGTGGTTCGGATAACGACTCATGTACGAAAAAATATATTAATTTATTCCATGTTGAAATTTCTCTCCGTTACGTGTCGCTTCGCGTTGAATTTTCGTCGATGTTAAGCCTAACGAAGACTATTGTATCGTTAAAAATTATNCTAGACCAATAGCGGATATTGTACAAACCGTTGAGTTTAAACGAGCAGCGGCCCTACTAAAAACCATTTATTATTTAACGTCCATAAAAATTATATTTATATTAATGATGTCTCTAAAGTTCAGCGAATTTTTCGCAAAAAGAATAATCTATCAGGAAGCACGCGAGCGCCATTCGATGACAATCTCCACGACGAAAACAAGCTTAAGCAATGGCGTTGTCGAACGGTGCAGACTCGGTAAGTAGTCCTACAATTTTTTGTTTATAGCATAGTTTATATGGATTATTCCCAAAAAATTATACGTATTTTGGAAATGTTGAGTCGAATTAGTCTAGAATCGATTAATTCTATGGAAGAAACCTTTCAAACAGCCGTAGTCCGTAAACTGCATACGTGCCGGGCTGTGATTGGCTGGACTCATAAAACTCGGAACGTAACTACCTTGTTATGGGTGGGGTCGACTATATTTCATTACTCAATACGTACAGTAAATTTCTCCGATTTCACCTCCGATTCATCTATCTAACTGCTTTCAGGGGAAAAGTTTTGAATTGAAATAAACAAAAACAGTTTTTATTTGTTGGTTCCTACGAAATATTACCATTTAAATGAATAAATCATTAGTAATAATTAAAAAAAAAGTGCCGTGACCAGGATTCGAACCTGGGTTATTGCGGCCACAACGCAATGTCCTAACCACTAGACGATCACGGCAACTCCGACACGTCTTTAAATTCTTCTTATTCCCTATAAATATCTAAAGTTACTAAAGTGTAACGAGTTAAATGTAAACGTATAAAAAGTAGTTCGATATAAAAAAGTAGTCTGTTCAGTTGTCTTTAGTGTATTACATTATACGTAATGTAGCCTATATTTTTCTTGCATAATATATAACCAATTTATGATGTACAGGTTACAGTATGTTAATTGAATTTAATTATACTATATACATTTTCATCTACAAGAACAATTACTTTCATTAAAATTACAATTCCTTGTTTTCATTTTAAACTTTAATTACTCCTTTATTTAAAAATCTTTTCGGCCATAGTATAGTCGAAAAAACGAAAAAACAGTCACTATATATTCACTTTCACTGTTCCAGAATACAGTATAATTTTTGACGACTAATTTTTTTTTTGAAAGTTACCAGCAGTACACTATAAATGCATCTATAATATTGTAATGCTTGTTTCTTGTTGTTTACAATTACAGATGTTTCTAAAATGAAACCAAAAGTAGCGGAGATACCAACGATAAATTTTGTAATATAAAATGGGAGTACTTAATATTGATTCGAAACATAAAGAACACATACGGTAACAGATAATGTTACAGTCATTGTAAGGAAGTTCATTAATCTTCATATCTAGAATTGAGATCTTTCAATTTTTTATCACTTAATTCTGTAGGAAGATAACAAATGAAAAGATTAAAATCTCTATAATTGGTCCCATTCAGCTAAGTATGCAGATAAAAAAGATTACAGTGTGAATTATAAAAACGGATTGGAAGATAAATTAACAAAATCGATATTTAATAAAATATCAATAATTTTTTTGAAAAGGATGATTGTGCGATTGGAAAATTGATAAAGATTATGCAGCAAGAAAAAATCTATATTCATTGATTGAATAGTTAAACTAAACTACAGACAAAAAGGCATGGGTATACTAATACTTTGATCCGATTGTTAGTCAAATTTAAGTGTCGTAGACTGGAATGTGAATGTGAAAAGCTTCGAAGATCTCTAATAAAATTGTTTTGAAATTTATAAATGTAAGACTCAACGCCCATAGATGTTTATAAAACGATTATTATTTGTTTGATGTGTTTAAAGCTTCTTGTCCTATTCAATTGCTGTACTTCTTAAATCTCACAACTCGACAAATGTAGGACTTATCATACAAGATATGTGTTTAGAAGAGCGTGACGAAATTAATTATTCCGAATTGTCGTTTTTGTACGCATTTCGGGTCTAAATTCCTCTTCAGCTCTTGACAATTCTTTAAAAACTGGTTTTGGGAAGAAGTCGCAATTATAGATATTATATATCAAAAAATGTAATCTAAAAACTATGTAGAATATTAACCCGGTAAATAAAATCACTTAAAATTATTCTAATTTGCACAACTTATTCGATTTAATAGAAATAGATAAAATTAAATAATAAAATAAAAAGATTGTAGAAATAAAACCAATTGTAAAAATTATAGAAATGGTGCGTGAACCGCTGACTTTTTCTACACTTTTGACAAAGTGTAGAAAGTGTATTGACATTTACTAAAAAACAGAGCAAATAATACGTAATTCGTGACGCTGTTTCCCGTTTAGCAAATCGTTTCGCCAGTCAAGCTGAAAATTTTTGCTTTTTACGTTTTGTAGTGTAAATCAATTTTGATAAAGATTAAAAATCATTTACAGGTATTTTATTCGCTGTCAGTTTGAGCTAATCTGTCGGATGACTCTTCATTCTTTCGAGTGACTGATATTTCGGCGGAAGGAGACAATCGATGTATTATACTATACCATTAATGCATAGTCTATCGAAAAAACAAAACTTGAGAAATTCTTATAAACATTGAATATAAGGAGTGCTTCGCCCACTTGTTCAAAAATTTCGTAACGATTCATCGGTTTCTGGTGCCGTTTTACGTCATTTGCCAAAATATTTTAAAATGTAACTTAAAGAAAATTCCATTGTCGAGCATGAACTAAATGCAACGTCACTGCAACGTAAGTGCGATAACCGATCCGAAATCGATGAAACGTTTATTCTCTAGCTAATATTTTCGCAAAATAAGTATTTTATATTTTCCGTCAGAACATAAAACAAACACAACCGAAATTTCGTCTGGATTGAACTATAATTGCAGGAGTTATAAGGAATTCACACAGACCACGGCTTTTATGTTAGTAATAGAGAAAGTAAATATGACTTAACTTTAGACTATAATTTTATAAATATTTGTAAATTGTTCATTTTTCCAGAATATATCATATTATATTTTTCCAGGCGATATATTAAATTGTTCCCAATAACAATAATTTTATTGTTTTAAAATTAAATTCTCCTATTCCCGTATTGAGGACTATTCCTTGCATATTTATTCGACAAGACGACCAAATTTTGGGTTATATAGTAAAATAGACTGTAGAATAAGCGACTTGCTGAGAGTAACAAATGTCAAATCTGTTGAACGGACTTCTAGAATGGAAAACTCATGAAATCAACTCTTCGGCAGAGTTGGCAAGCTTACTACATACAGATCCCCTTTCTTTTCGTTGCAATGGGTTCTGTTTTAACTGGAAGAAGTCAGTGCACGTTGCCAAATTGAGGGAAATTCCCCTAGATTTAGGGGAAAATCTTTGGTCTAGAGGTTAATCTATGGGAGAAACCTAGGGAAAAATTTTTGAGGGGGAAAATGAATTCTAGACGGAGGTAGAAATTTTGGGAGAACAGTACAGAAATACTGGAAATGTGTTGAATGATTAAACTATAAATCAAACACGGCACAAACGGTTTAGAGAGAGGAACGAGGCGTCCACGACAATAAGTGGAGCCGTCGAGAGGTTGCATGAGGCCCGCGAGTAGAACGGACCTTTCTCTTCTTATTAGGTACCCTAAACCATATTTTTAAACGAATTAAATATATAAACTGTTTCTTTATTAATAAAAAAACGGCCTTAAAGACTTTGCTATTTTGTTCGTAAAAATAACATTAAATAAACACGAAAGGACAAATTTTTAAATTTTATTAAACATTGTGTCGCTTTCATTCTATAATAATTGTGAAATTTTTTGCCGAGCCAGAAGCACTTATCGTTTCACCTTTTAATAATGTATAATTGGAGCTAAAGGTATCAGTTGTTGCGGATGACTTCGAACTCACCGAACACTGCAACCGTTCAACCGATCTTGAGTGCCAACAATCTCATAAACTCTTAATCCTCATGCTTATCACAAAGTGGTATCAACCAACAGGAAAATTCTCTAACAGTCCAACCAAGTTACATACGTAACTCCCATATTACAATATCTTCCAGAGAAGCACGAGCAAAGAAGACCAAGAACTCCTAACAGATACACGTGGCCCACATCGAATTTTGAACTGTTACCCTCGTACCCAGGACCTCAAAATGTCAACCAATCCATCAACTGAGCGGGTATCTACACAACTAACGGAAGAGGAACTACACTTCCGCTCGGTTCACTAACCGAAGACGTTCACTTATATTCTAACCTTTTATAGAATTTTTGTTTGTTTGTTAAAATGAATCAAAATACTTAAATGTCGGAAACCCAAAGAGTGTTAATATTATTACAGAGAGAGTAAATTGTACCCCTTTTACCCAAATTCAAAATCGAACTTGCTCCTTAAAGAACAAGTACGATTTTAGAAAGGCCGAAGTAATGTGAGGGTCGGACCGAATAAAATAAAATTAAATAAAGAAGCTCAAATTAAATTAAATATCTTTATTAAAGTTAAACAAAGAAAAACTTCATTTTTCGAAATTTTACGAAAAAAGATATACACATTTCCTTCCTACGGAGCCGTTTCCTATCTCTCAGGAACCCGAAAAATGATTCATGAGGAACTTATCCTAAAAATCGGCGATTGGTGAAACCCAGTAACGTGACGAAAGGGATAAAAGAGGGGTGACGACGAGAAAAGGGGGTCCGTCATCACCGTTCATGATCTCCGAAAACCCGTGACGATCCTCATCGCCGCCGTCCGTTCCTCGAGACAACTTGTCCGATCCGGTTAGAAACCGTCCGACGCTCCGATCCCACATCGTACAGGTACGATACCCATTAATGTAAACTCTCACTCGGCGCGTTTCCCTCCACTTCCGCGTGTCCGCTCGAGATAAGCTCAATGTATTTATATTAGTTATGTTATCGTCTAAATAAATCCTTGTTTTGTTGTTAATTGGTGCCTTTAATTCGAGTATCGCCGACGTCTTACCGACGACCCCTCTCACCTCCTCCACTCGACCTGACAAAAGAATCCCGGGATAGAAAAACATTATTCAAGCCATCCACTGACCAGCGGGCAGTTCTCACCAAACTGTTGCCTATCAAAACGAGGTACGACTTCGTCCTACCTCAGGCTATCCACATATAATTATAATAAAGTTACAATAAATTAAGTTAATATATAATTATATATACAGTACCTAATTTATATATAATTATATGTACAGACGATACTAAACTCAATTTACCCGCCTAAACTGTCCGTAGCGTGGCGCTGGAAAGCGGAAAGTAGTTCGGCTGCCCGATGACGTTTTACGTAATTATAGGAGTTTTTTACCGTTGTTTACGGATACCGCCACAATTTTTTCGCCGTCTTATAGGAATCGTAATTATAGGAACCCGTTTTATAGGGGGATCTACTGTATTCCAGCTTGTAGCCTTTACGCAAAACAAATGCCGCCGCCGAACGACACTTTCGATTTGCCGTTTAGAAAAATCTTTATAAAAGGTTTTAATTCGCATAAATTCACACTTTTGTAATTCTGAGTACATTTTGAATAAAATTTATTTGTTTCTATGCAATTTTATTTTTTAGAAGTATAATATTAAGCGGTAAAACTGAATTTGCTCTATGGGAAACCTCCGTGAACTTTGACCCATCAACCCGAAAGTTTCGCGATCACCTCACTGATAACGAGAAAGACAACAAAAAAATGAACTAATAAATACCTTTATATTAAACGACTACCCAAGAAGATTACTAAAAAAGTGGATAAATACATTTAAGAAAAACAGATTCAACGTTAAAAATAAGAATGAGAACACTACATGTATGTCGTTCCCCTATATTAAGGGAACATTTGAAAAATACAGAAAAATTCTCAGTAAGCATGGTATTACACTAGCATCCAAACTAAAAAATAAAATTAAAAACATCATCAACACCAATAAGTTCAAAAATAACGAAATACTTAGCCAAACAGGTGTAATATACGAAATAAAATGTACTGTACATGTAAGGAATCAGAGACATACATTGGAGAAACAGGAAGGCAACTCGGTACCAGAATAAAAGAACATAAAACAGCAATTAGACTTAATTACAACCAATCACCGTGGACAAATCACTGTAAGGAATTCGGATGCACAATTAACGAAAAAAATGTAAAAATAATTCATAAAGAAAAAGACAGTTACCTAGGAAAATTCAAAGAGCATTTCGAAATTGTTAATAAAAGCAAAACCATAAACTTAAATGATGGAATGGAGGTTGACAACGTGTGGGAGGAAATGGGAAGAGCTAAAGGGAAAGAAAACAGAAAGAGGGGAAAACGGTCTAAAAATGCCTTAGGGACACAACTAGAGGATTTGATCCCGGGATCTCGAAAATCGGGATCCCGGGATCCCGACCACTTTTCAGTCCCAAAATTTTCGGGATTAAGTTTTCCTAATCCCGGGATTTTCGGGATTGACATCATTTTAAAAAAATTGCAAAATAGACTGCATGAAGCGAAACGTTCAGTGCCAGTGCNCAGTGATTTTAAGTCTGGTTAGTCTGACTGTAAGTCTGATTAATTAGAGTGATTAAATTAACTAGGTGTATACCGTAAAATACGTTGATTTTTGTCTAAATTTTGATTTTTAATTTCTGTAAGATTTTCTTATTTTTTATTAACCCTCAATACCGAAATAATCCCGGGATCCCGGGATCGAATAAGTATAATCCCGAAATCCCGGGATTAGAAATAAGGACCGGGATCGAATTCCCTAGACACAACATCAACACTGGGCAGATGTGGGTCTTAACTTAAAAACAGGTTAGTTAACTATTGTATAAATATATCCAAATAACTATTGTTTGTAATTTACCGTAAAAACAAATGTAATAATTAAAATTTACCAATATATAGAAATGTAAAAATAACCTGAAGAGGGGTGCAAGTGATACGAAAATATTGCACCCGAAATGCATAGTAAGTAAGAAAATAAAGAATACGAAGATAAGCTATTGTCTCTGATTAAATGCGGTCCAGGAAAAAAAAAAAACGGTGGTTATTTCTGTAGATTAACCCATGAAGTTTTCATCAATTTTTGAGGAAATATTTTTGAAAAATTGATTTTAAAAGGAGTAGAAAGACTTAAGTTTAAAATTTGAGCTTCCTAGACTTAGTAGTTTTTTTCTTTACGAGCGTATGCACTGAAGGATTAAGAAAGAAAAAAGAAATAGGAGAAGAAAATATAGCTTTTTTGGAAATTTTTGCATTTTTCAATCTTATATTTCAGCAACCGCTTAGCGAGGTATTAACAATCATAACATTAGTAAAATTTACTTTTAACATGTTCATGAGCGAAATTCTCTTTATTTCATTTATTTAATACTAGCAGGTGGGCCCGGCGTTGCTCGGGCAAAAGTAACGATAACTAAGATAAAGATTATTACGTTACAGTCAACCTTACCCGTTTTCACAGAATGCAAGAATTGGGTCCCCTTAGAGAATTTTTAGATGGGTCTAAAAATATGTTCGATTTCTCGCAAAAACGAAAAAACTGCATCTGCGTATCGCACGTCGCTTTCTCTTAACAATTCCATTGTTACGTAAGATTTCCATTGTTGACACTTCCATTGTTACTTAAAACTTTTATTGTTACTTAAAACTTCCATTGTTACTTAACACTTCCATTGTTACTTAATACTTCCATTGTTACTTAATACTTCCATTGTTACCTAACACCGCCATTGTTACTTAACACTTCCATTGTTGATGGAAGTGTTAAGCCTTAATCCTGTCTTTCTCCCCCCGGGAGGAATTTCGAAAAATCCCTTCTTAGTGTGCGTTTTCGTGACGTACCCTAACTGTGTACCAAATTTCAGCTTCCAACTCCTAACCGTTTGGGCTCTGCACTTATTATTATTATCAACCCGTCTCGATTATATTATAGATTACAGTGGTATGATCCTACGTTTTCTTCAGGTCCGAAAAACTTTCTCCACGGCCTGGCGATAAGAACACGCGAAGATCGTCCATTTTAATTGAAAGAGAAGAATATTGAAAAGATTGTACTCTAAAACATATGATGAGCGTTCGGCTAATCACAGAAAAAAGACATTGACAAAGAAACGATTAAAACGATTTTGTCACAGTAATTTGGTATGAGAAAGAGATGCTCACGAATAATTTGTAGTGCAGTTTTGAAAATTTTTAGATTTTATGATAACAAGAAATGCTTCCTGCATCTTTTAATATGATCCAAAAGCGAAACGGCAGAGTATATAACTACAAACTCCCACATAACTTATTTTAAAGAAATCAATGTCTCGATCAAAGATCAGCATGCTTTCTTCGAATGGGCTTATCTAACTGCGCGAGATGAGGAATTCATTACTGACGCATTTTTTCCCTATATTTGCCTACTCCATGGCAGTAGGATCAGGATCTGCCGTCATGGAGTAGGCAAACGTAGTAAAAAGATGAACGATGGCATATCGAAGAGCCGTTCCTTCGCCTTTGCTTGCTGACTTCATTACTGATTAGACCCGACTGTAATAGACGAAATATGCCGGTTATATCCATTAATCTCGCTCTAATCAATCCATCGTTACTGAAAGCCGGATAGCTATCATCCTGTCGCTCTGAGCGATTCCGGAAACGAAACTGGATGAGTCGAAAAACCAGGAATTCTTTGGAATGGTTCGTCCGGATGTGTCGGACCCCATCCCTCACCGCTAGGCCTACCCATGATGGGCCTGGCCGAAGCCATAACGGCTTGCTCCATAAAGCGGAAATAGTTTTTAAAATATTTTAATGTATAATAAAGTAAAGCATTTTTTAATTAATAAATGTTAATAAGTTTTATTTTTAATATAAAAATCACGAATTTTAAAATTAAAATACAAAACTTGTATCTTGATCATAACGCCCCTAGTGTTAAAAATACTAATCACGTGATGATTAGTCACATGGATAATGTCAATTTGTGAGTAATCAGCTGATATTTTCGATTAATTAAATTTTCAGTTCGCATATTCTTAAGAACCGATGAGTACAGAATTAACTACTCCATTAACTGCATTTTCGCTGGAAGATGATCAACGTTATCTTCCCCTGAAAACTTCAGATATAGAAGACCAAATAGTTCCGGATGTCTCTTTTGTGCCAACATCTGTACTAACTAAAGAGAGTGTTCGGGAAAACCAACCTTTATTGAGGAGGACTGAAGATTGTGCTTGTAACTTTAATCATTTTCCTGACGATCCGCAGTTTTCAACGATTGTTAAGGAAGCTGAAGTAGCTATTGGAAATGGTGTTTACCCTCAACGAATTTACCAAGGATCTAGTGGTAGTTATTTCGTGAAAAACAATGATAGTACGGTAAATATCTCCTTACTTTGTTTACTTTTTAAATAAATAAATAAATGATTTTTGTTTTAATTCTTAATACATTCACTAAACATTTTAATGCCATAAACTATTACAAAACTTTTTCATTATTTACCATATACTGTATTGTTTTAAATTAAATTTGTTACAATCACTGAATTAACAACATATATAAAGTATATTTTTCCTAAATCACTGTTTGTCATAATTGAACAGTTTTTTGATATTTAGGACACCTCAATTTTAAAATTATGTTATAATTTTAACCTAAATCCACATACCTTATGTGTTTTTGAATGTTGCAATTTTATTTTGGATTGATTGCAACATTTGTGTTTGGAAACTTAGATAATATGTATATTTACACGTGTTTTTCTGAATAGATACACAAATTCATATACTAACTTTAAATAATTTAATAAACAAATTGAATTATGTTATATATAACAAGAAGGAAAATTTGTTGTTTTTTTAAGTATTTTATAGTTTTTTTTTCAGTTTTCAGGTGTTTATTTTGGATAAAATGTCAGAAGTAAACAGAAATTTTACATGTGAAATTTAAACTATTACCAATGACTTTCTCTAAATTGGATTATGTTGGGCCTGTCTTCTGAAGTTTTTATTGAATATTTATCTTCATTTTATATTATCATTAATATTAGAAAAAAATTATCACATTTAAAGATTTTATGAACATTATTTTATTTTCAACAGAAGACTATTTTTATAGTATTTTGCTATCTTTGATCAAGTTTTAATTGGTACTGATAATTTTCTAACTTAAAATTGTCCATTTATATATTTTTTTAAGAGACATTTTTTTTCAATTACAATAATTATTTACATTTTGCTATGTTTTTTAAGTATTTTATTACTACAAACTATATTTTGATTTGTTAGAAAGAAAAGTAGATTTCTCTTTAAATAATTTTTTCAATAACAAATAAAAAGTGATTAAAAATAATTTCAATTGCTATTATTATTATTATTTTTTTTTTAAAAATAGATTTACTCAATTTTAATCACAATATATTTTAATTACAATAAATATGAAATATAAAGAATGATCAAGTAGATTTTCTACTGATTACAAATATTTCCTGATTAAACAAAGTTGATTTATAATATCTTGAAAATATTAGTTTTGGTGTATACTTCTATCATGTAGCTAAGCATCGTGAAATATTTTTTGAAATATTATTAAAGTTTATTTTCAGATATTTAGTATTTGGAATACTTGGATTGGGATTCCAGTAATTAAGTACTCTAATACATTTTAGGTATAAAGCCATTTATAATGAACAGATAAACTCTGTGTTTATGGAGATTTCATTAAATGTACATAAACTGATATGAAACTTTTTTGATTTTATTTGGATAATTTTAACTTCACAAAATGTGTTTTTAAAATTTTACAGGCATTCAAATTAGATCTGTGGAAAAATTTATATACATATATTACATATTATAGTTTCTTAATTCTAAAATGCTATTGAGTTTGAAATTTTTTTTTTTTTTGAGGAAGGAAAGTTTTTAAATAGGCCTAATCAATTTTATTAAGTTTCGTCAAGTAATGATTAGTTCAAAAAACAATACAGATGCTGTGAAACAGATATTATTTGATAGCTCTATTTCCATGTTTGTCATATATAATAACTATTTATTTTAATGCTACATGATAATATCATCTCAAAGACATTTTAAAGATTTAAAAACTAGTTTTAAATGAACTGTTTGTTATCTGCAAAGTTCATTCAAACTGATGTGAATGTTGAGTAGTATTGCCTAGCTGAAAAGTCTATTATTGGTGCATAAAACATTGTGTGGTTTGCTTGAAATGATTATTGTTTGGACTGTAAGACACTCATTTCTAGGATCTACCTTTATTTTAAACAAGTAAAAATAGATTTTTAAAAAAGTGTCTTAGAATTAAGCAAATGCAATATATTCAATTGCATGTAGACGTCAAAAAGAACAAATATTATTAAATAAATATACAAAAGTATTTCAATATTTCAAATCACAAAATGGTAATATATAAATATGAATACCACTTCCTTGAAAAACAATGCTTACATATTGTCAAGGAAAACATTTGCTGCTGGATAAGGTTGAATATATTTATTTTTTAATTGTTTAATTTTTCCATGTATACTTGAATTTGTCAAAATATTATATTTTTATCTGTTAATATTTAATCTATTAACAGTTACTATAAAATATTTTCTTATTTCAACAATATTTATTTGATTATTTACTTAATAAAATTATAAAAAGACATATGAATATCAATAAGAAAATAAAACATTTAAATAAGTACTTCTACTTTTGCACGTACATTCTAGCTTGATCAGAATTTTTAAAAAAGAACAACAAAATTTTATTATATAGCATGGGTTTTTTTTTATCTTGTGAAACTTAGTCCTAATGAGTTTCAACACCTATATATTTGCATAATTACCAATAACAAAAATAGTATGATAAATATAAATTAGAAAGAACTGATAAACCAAAGGAGATCATATTATTTTACTGCATTTCATATTATTAATTTTTTATTGTTAGTTCAATTATATACAAAAGTTGGATAATTATTGCAATTATATTATATAACACATGTGCTTGATAATAAACTAAATAAATATTAAACACATAAAAATTTGAAAAATATATAATAAATATTATTCATTTATATCTGTTATTTTTAAAATTATTATACTGATAGGAGTTCAGATAGTTTCTTTTTTAGGTCACAAGCAACTTAATTTCATATGTTTTGTTTCTTATTGTATAAAAAGTTCCTTTTGATATAGTTAGGAAGTTTTTTTTATGTTCTCTCCTGCAAACAATTTACATTTGAAAACTGAGATTATAGCTCTTTTATTAATTTTACACTGATTATAATTAATTTATTTGCAATTATAAATATTCTAATTATTTTATTGATTTTAAATTATAGAAGTAGTGAAGTGTCCATCTTAAACTCCATCTCCTAGAGTTGGTTTGACAGATTAAACACGACTCGAAATTGTTCTGATGTAGGTTTAGTGAAAGCACACCTCCACACTCAAGATAGTCAATATATACAGTTTATTTACAAAATATATATAGACTATACAAGTTGGAAAACACAGTAAACACAGGATACCCAAAGTGTGATGCCTTATGTACTAGTTTGGCTTTTGGGAACAATTAAGTTCTGGAGGCCTGCAGATTGGCTCTACTGCATGCTTTGCCTAGTCTCAGCACTTACCCGTCCCTGAGATATCTTGCAAAGGAGTATGCTCACTCTCTCTCTCTCTCTCTAACCTCAGTGGGCTTTCCAAGTTTATGAGCTTTTTGTTTACCTGTCTTGAGCCCTTTGTCTCTTTCTCTCCTGCTTGCCCTCCAATTTGAGGACTTTTTGGGTGGGAACTTCAACCAATTACAGATCTTCCTTGTGAATAGCTTTCACCCATGTCTGCTTGAATCAGGTGAGGGTGAAGCTTACTTTTGTGTCCGCCCATCTCCGATGTGGGTGGTCTCCCACTTGTTTACTACCAGGTGCTTACCACCTGGCAAATTGTTTACAACTGGACTATCTTTGAATCCAATTAGCGAGGTCGGTGCTTCCTTTTGTTCTCTTACTGTTTACAAGCCAATACTTTACAGAAGTATTAATTATTTTTAGAATTTTATATATTCATTATAATGTAAATGTCAACACATTTATCTATAATTTATCTTTGTTTCTATTCCATTTTTCTTTTTTTTTTTTTTTTCTTTTAGTTTCAAAAAAGTGTTTGTGCTTTATTTGGCTACTTTGAAAGAAAGCCCATCAAGGAGAGAAATATTGTAATTTCTAAATTGTATCTGGATGAAATAAAGTTGTTGATTGGCTAGTATTTTTGGAGTCTGAATGTGATAATTCCTAGAGAATAATGGTGTTTGAACCAGTTACATATCTATATGTCAACACATTTGTATTGCTCTATCTTGATGACATTTTTCAATATCAGATTAATTTTAGAAAATATATGAGTTTAAAATAATAATAATAATAATAATAATAGTACACTGCCACCGATATCAACCGAGTAAAACTCACAAAACCCAACATAATAATAATAATTATTATTATTATGTTGGGTTTTGTGAGTTTTACTCGGTTGATATCGGTGGCAGTGTACTATGCCAGACCAGAGTCAAGACATAGTAACCAAAACAAAACAAAAATTAAAAAACTGTCAGTGTGTGTGTTTGTATTCAGGAATTTTCTAACAATATGGCATGTATTCAATATAGTGGCCTTCTGTAGTGTGATGTATTTGTTTCTATTCAATTGTAATGTGGCCAGGCTTTTGTGTAGTGTGTGTGGTATCACACCTGTACAGGAGAGAACAACAGGTACAATAAGCACCCTATCCATCCTCCACAGATGCCTTATTTCCTGGGCGAGTTCTGTGTACTTGCTAATTTTTTCAGTGCATGTGTTTTGTACATTGTGAGTGTTTGGAATGGCTATGTCTATAATGTATGTGATTTTATTGTGTTTGTCAATGAGTGTGATGTCTGGTCTGTTGTGGTAAATTGTTTTATCTGTGATTATAGCTCTGTCGTAGTACATTTTGTGCGTGTTATTTTCCAATACTGTCTGTGGAATGTATTTGTAGTTTAGTTCATGGATGTCTAATAATTTGTGTTCGTTTGCAAGCTCTTGGTGTATTATATTTGCTACTTGATTGTGTCTGTGTAAATTCTGTCTGTGCCAAGAGCTTGCAACCAGAAGTGATGTGTTGTAGGCTTTAGTTTCTGGCATGATGTGGCATTTTCTACATGTGTCATTTGTGAGTGTTGTAACTTTGAGTATGTGTTTTCTGTAGTTTCTAGTATTTATGACCTGATCCTGTATGGCAATCATGAATACTTTCATCTCCCCAAATTATTATTATTATTATCTGATTTATTAATATTAAAATAAAAACATTTCAATATCATATGATCATATGATA